TTTAATTCATTAATTGAATAAAATAAAATCAATATTTATTTTTTTATTTCAAAATAATTGTTATTTTTTTTATTTTTCAAGATAGATAAATAATTTTTCTTACTTTAAGTTTATCATTATGTATTTATTTTAATTAATTGTTTAGTCACAAAATATCTTTTTATCTTTTATTTCTTTTTTAATAGTATTAAAATAAAAGATTTTCTAATTTGTGTCATTAAAGCACAAGTTAAATATCATTAATTGTAGCATTTATAATTAGTTTTACATAAATTTTCATACAAGACTCAAATGTAATATAATATAAACTGTAAAAATATAATATAATATAATATTCATATTTGAAACTTGTAAAAAGAATATAAATTTGATATAAAAATTTATGTAAAATTAATTTAAAATACCCTAATTAATGAGTCTTAACCTATAACCTTAAACCATATATTAGACAAACCCTTTAAATACAAATATTATTCCCAAATCCTTAATTTAGGGGGAAATAAAAAATTGACAATTATTTTGGGATAGAGAGATGAGTGTATCTTTCATGTAAATCAATTACAAAAATATATAGTAAATACACCCTTAATTTATACTTTAAGGAGACATGTTAGGAAAATTATTTTTTTCAATATTTTTAATATAATTTTATATATTATTTAATAATTGACATTCGTACTCTATTAAGATATATGCATCTATTCATTTATTTATATATGAAAATTGTATAAAAAAATTTATTTAAAAAAATATCCCCATATCTTTACTTTTTTAAATTTTTTTAGCCGCCTTCTTCCAAAAGAGTTATGTAGCAAAGTTTTTGTTAAGAAAGTTTGTAAAAGGAAAATAAATTTCAAAACAAAAAGACAACCTACCTTATTAATGGTTTCTTCTCCTCCCTTTCAAAAATTTATCAATTCCTTTTGCAAAATAAAGAAATTATATATACCTACCAGATCAGTATGGAGATCGAGTCGTTCGTTCACATTTGCAGTAATTTAATTTTGTCCCTGTTATGATTTGAATTTTAAAGATGGCCTCCGATCCAGATTCAAATCTGGTAACAGACGCCAGACAATCAGATCACATGCAAGCTGAAACCTAGAATGAACCTAGATGACTTAACGACCATGTTCAAACATGACCAGAACAGAGGCAAGGAAAATCATAAGATCATTCATTTTTTGTATTGTCAATTTTTGGTGCATTGAACTTGGTCAGTATAATGGGTTTGGTTCATGATGGTTTTCGACATGAATAAGAGTATATTGGCCTAATTCTAACTTTTGCAATTTTTTCAGCAATATTAATCATCAATTTATATTATGAAATAATTTATTAAAAATTTTATAAATCAATACCTAAAAATCACTCATCAAATTTATAAGTTTATTATTATTTTTATTTTATGGCACTAAACCCTCAATATTTGAAATCCACATTATACCTCAATTAATTTATAATTGAGTAGCATTAAACCCAATTTCAGTGCTTATTTTTCTATTAACAAGATTTGAATTTAATATTTTATTTAAAAAAAAATCAACTTTTTCCACTCAAACCAAGTAATTGGTTTAAAAATGTGCAGTAACTTCAATTTCTACATTGTATACATTAAATTAAAATTAAAGTTTGTAATAAACATGTAGTAACTTGAATTTTTAACTTTAATTTTAGAGAGTTGAAAACAACTTTTAAAAAAATTAAAAGCACTTTTCAAAAAATTACGTTACACCCAACTATATCTCTTGCAGACAAGATTAGACGAAGCCAGCCAAAAAGACAAATAAACTTGAAGAGTCTAGTTCATGACAGTGTCAATAGAAAATTTTGAAAACCCAACCATAGCGACATGCATGTTCATGCTGGCTGGTTGAATAAAATATTTGATGAGCTTTAACTTCTTTCAGGTTTTGTTTTTTCAGAAGAAAAAAAAAGAAAAAGAAACTTATTCATTTAGAGTACAGAATGTACTCCAACGATCTACCTGTTACAAAATAATATTATTCTCAAATCATTAATTTAGTTCTTAAATTTTTAATTTTAAACTGAAAGTCCTTAAATTTAAAAAAATACCAAAATGGTCATTGAGCTTGGATTTTCCACTATCTAAAAGGACCAACCATCAGAGGGATAATGGGGAGAGAAAAAGTATGAGCTTTGCTTTCAGATGTTTACTGTTTGGTCAAGTGTTAGTCCCCTTTGTGACATTCGTTTATCTACCATACATTGGCAGAACTACAAGAGAATAGGATTGGGCATGATGCTTACCTTAAATCTCAAAAAAGAAAAAAGAAAAAAGAAAAAAAAAGATATAGATTAAGATTGTAGAAGATAGAAAAAAAAAAGATTATATGAAATATTGCTTATTAACATTACTCATTATAAATAAATATTGATTTTCTTTATGTGTATACAATCTCTTTAAGAAACTAATTAACCATGCTAAAAACAAAAAGAAAAGAAAAAGTAATTATGCATTGAACATAGGGTCTAATTGTGTGCATATTTTTAGTCTACCTTTTTCTTATTCAAATTTTATAATTCAACTTGTGTTTGTCAAGTATATACTACGGTACAAAACAAATGCAATTGAAGATTCTAAGACTAAGAATATTTAGTGGGTTACAAGTTGCTAAAAGGTAGACCTACCCTGCCACCCACTATTAAAGTAAAATGTTTTATGATGTCTGGTTCAGATTGCTCTTCTTCGATTGGTTGGAGGAAAAATCGTGGAAAGGACGCTCAACACACAAGACAAGAAAACAAAAGAAAATTGGATATGACTACATACTCACTCTATTAAACAAGTAGTCTTAAATTGATATTTTTATTTTTAAGATAAAGAATTTAAGTGAAATTTAATTAATATAATAAATAAATATCAATTGAAATTTTTTTATCAAGTAAAATTACTAAACAAAATTATATACATAAAAAAATTTAATTTCAATCTATATTCATTTATAATATTAAATTTTTATCTAAATTTTTTATTTCAAAAGTCAAAATAAAATTATTATTATTATTGAATGGATGAAATAACTCCACATGTCCTGTCATGAATTGCATAGTTTAATTGTCTTCTCACCCCATTTGACACCAAAAAAATAGAATAAAATAAAGAAATAAAGAAATAAAGAAAGATGCTTAATTAAGCAAAAATGTCCATCTCATCACTTTTGGTCCATTTATTGGCACTCACGATTTTACCTTCAAAAAGCATCTAATGAAAAAAATTAAACATATTTAAGGGTGTTTACATTGATTATTTTAATACAATTGATAATTAACATTCAACAACTAATAATTATTATTATTTATAATACAAAATATTTGAACCATTCTATTAGAATCAACAACTGATAATTGTACCAACGAGGGGTTGGATTAAGTGATAAGCGGCTTATTCCAACTTAAGTAAGGTCTCAAGTTCGAGACCTTGTGTACGAAGCAGCTTTCGTTGGGAGACTCATCCACCATTTTCAGGTGCGCAACGCTGGTCGGTCCGGAGTAGTGGGGGTAAAATCCCGAATACCAGGCGGGAAACAAAAAAAAAAAATAAAACAACTAATAATTGTTCTCCAATTTCTAAGACAAATACCAATTAGTTATAATTATTCTTGTAAGGGTGTTCACAGTGTGGATTAGTTCGGGTTTTAATGTTTTTTAAACCAACCTAATCTACTATTATATAATAACCAAATCAATCCAACTTCAATTGAATCGGTAGAATTTGATCGTATTGATTAGTTTTTAACATTATTAAAAATATAAGATAATGTAAAAGGTTTTTAATATCAAGTAAAAAACATAATTATAAAACACATTAACATCTAAATCAATAGAAATATAATAAAAGGCACGAATTTTAAACAAGTTCTTATATTCCTTTACAATTGTAAATATTGAAAAGATCTAAAAATTCTTTTTAGCTACATCACTAAAAGCACCAAGAACAATATAAGATGATTTCAAGTTTCAAGCACAATACAAGTAATTGTTAAAGGTTAAAACTAGTTCTTTTTCTTAATACATCGGTGATTCAATCCCATATTCCAAACCTGATTAAAGGTAGACAAAATTCAACATGAATATTACTAGAATTGATTAGAAACATTCATAATCAAGATTTAAAACTCCTCGACCAAACATCTAAGAATAATAAAATAACAAGACTAGTTCTATATATTATGTAGTTTTAAGACTTTTGAAATGACACTTTTATAAAATTTAATTAAGAAAATCAGAATATTATTTTAAGAATAAATTAAAGTTAGAATTCTAAGAGTAGACTCATAAATAAGTTCTAAAGGATAAAGTTATAAGTAAATTAAAATTTAAAATTAAAGTTAAAGTGCATGATTAAGAAGGAAAAATACATTAGGGAATGTAAGGATGTTTTCTTTTTTATTTTTTTATTTAAATTAATGGAGTTATTATCTTGTAAAATAAAAAAAATTTAAAATAATATCAAAAATATATTATATTATTTAATTAAATTATCTTATAATCAAGTCTTATTTTGTAATCGAACGATTCGAATAGTTTAAAGGTGAAATTATGAATCAAATCAATTATATCAGTTTTAAAATTTTGTAATTTAAATCAACCCAATTTTATATCATTTTGGTTTAATTTTTTATTAGATAGAATTAGTTTAGGTCATATTAATCACATTAAATCAAATATAAACACGCCTATTGATTTACTTTAAATTCAAAATTTTAACCTCACCCTATCGCATTCGATTCATAAATTAACATGATTGCAGACAAAGACACGAAATTAAGCCAATGAAAGCTCAATATCATACAAAATCGTACGGTAAATAAGGTCATTTAGAGCAATGTTATTTTCCTTATTCTTCTATGTTTGTTCCACATAAAGGGAAGGAAAAAAAAAAAGACTTTTTTCCAAAGCGGCCCTTAAAAGCAAACTAATACAAAATTAAAAAAAAAAAACTTTTAAAAAAATGTCCTCATATTTCTAACGTCTCGCTTTTGTGCTCACCACTATATTTATTTTCTCTCATCATCACATGTGGGCTTTTTCTCTTGGCCTTGCGAGGAATATTCAGAATATGCCTATAATCATCGCAGGGCAGGGCAGGGGTTGTAGCTAAGATGAAGCATCAGAAGGCAGAATATGCGCACGACACTAGACACTTACTTCGGGAGTCGCATCGCAAATTTACCCAAAAAGGAGACGATAGAGCCTCCATTTTATATTAAGGAATATTAGTGTCTTTTTTCTTCCACAAAACCTACCACTTAGAAAAACAGAGACTGCACTCACTCGGACAGCAAAAATTAAGAGCCAAAGCTATGTCGACTTTTGCGTACTGTGTAAAGGAGCAGAAGCCATGCGTTCCATGGGTCCAGAAGTATTTCAAGGATTGTCTCTGCAACCTAAACGACGACGTTTCTTTCGCCTTCGGGCTCACCAGTTTGTTCTGCTGGGGAATCGCAGAAATCCCTCAAATCTTTACCAACTTCCGCACCAAATCCTCCCATGGCGTTTCCCTCGTTTTTCTCCTCACTTGGGTTGCCGGGTTTGTCCCCTTTCTCATTTTCCTTACTCATAGTTAATTAGGAGGAGCTTTTTTTTCTTTCTTTCTTTTTTTTTTTGTTAGGAGTTTCAGATTTGGGATTTGTGTATCTGTATATTCATGCAGGGATGTGTTTAATCTGGTCGGATGTCTTCTAGAACCTGCGACGGTGAGTTGAGGGTGTGGAAATCAATGGAGTCGGGGAGGTCTTCCGGTGGTCCAGAAACCCAAGAGCCGGTTTAGGATATTTGGGTGGCTCTGGTTAAAACCACCGCTCTGTTTTTATTTACATATTTTCCATTTTTTTCCTGATTTCGATTTTTAAATTCTATTGTTGCAGTTGCCCACGCAGTTCTACACGGCTCTGGTAATATCGCCTTCCTCATCACCTTAAACTATGCTATGACTCTTGGACACTCTTCTTTTATT